TAGCCTCTTTTGTTTGGTTAAGGAGATCACTATAGTTTCAATTTTTCCGAGGATGATACATATAAGCAATAAGTTATACATTTGATGGTTGAGTCTCAGTTAGCCTCATGGATTCAAGTGATGGCAAGTGATATGGGCAATTGATCCGACTTTTTTGTTTTTCTAGTGTTATAATGTCTAGAACCCTTCGAAGACATGAAATATTCGTATCTTATATCTCTAAATATAAAGACAAAAGAAAAAAATTAAAGATAGAAGAAGCTGTATTCCTGATATATTTTTCTTATTTATACAGATTAATATGAAAGATTTTCTTCAACAAAGCAATAAGATTTTCTCGTACAGTTGATGAAATCTTATTTGCTATCATACATATTGATGAGGGTAATAATGGCGATAAGACTCGGGTTGACGTCAGTTGTCCCAGATGACGCCTCGCGCCTCTGTTAACCTGACAACACCTAGTCAACGTGGGCTGAAACGCCAACCGAGACACATTAACATCCTATTCGGGCTCGATCCTTCACGCCACGCCAACGTCGATGTCAGACGTTACTAGAAGTACGATCCTGCTCCCTGCGAGCGGGCACATCAGGCAACGATAACCTTTACTATAAAAACCCTCGCGCTTCGAGGAAGAAAAGAAAGAAAGGAGGGAGGACAACCAAAAAACCCCCTGTGACTATTCATTAACTTGATCGTCGGAGGGGTCGGGCCGAGCTCTCCCAACCCGACCTGTGTGCAGGTGCGAAGACGGAGGCCTCCCACTAAACGCCCAGACGAGGAGCCCCCTCTCGGAGGAAACGATGACTCCTTCGCGATCGGACCACCACAGTCGGTCTTCTGGAGTCTCAAGGGTCGTCCCAAGAAGATCCCCCATAAGTTATTTACACCAACACATATCATAACCCGCTTCAGTAGATTCCTACAAAGGAATCTGGTAAGAGTGTGTTTCCGATAATTAAATTGGTTTCAATTTGTTGGTTGTGAGCGAAGAATTACCTGTAAATGTAATGATTTCACGAGAATAGGGATCATATCAGTAAACACGTTTGCTTGTGCTACCGTTGTCTCTTCTCCCTATGGCCGGAGTGATAGGGCAGCTAATACACAAGTGAGAGTCTGTGCTTGTTGCTAATCGATTTGTTCTTCCACTCCGATGCCTCTATTCTCGTCCCATCTGTTGTCTTCTTACAATTAGTGCCCGAACATTAATATGATATGCTCGAAACCATATATCCATGGAATTAAGACTAATTTAATCCGGCCTGCACATAATGATTCAATGGAAGCTAGCGAACGAGTGTTGTTTGAGCATCAAATAGTAATATCCGGAGATTTAGAATCCCCAGAGATCTTAAGAAACCTTCTACTTCCAAAAGATCCTGTCATCCACCTGAGTCTGTACTCTTTCTTTTCTTAGATCTGCTGCTTCTCTTCTACTGCTTTTGGAGGTCAGCGTTCTAATCCAAGCTTCTATTAGTTTCCTTATTCCACGTTTATAGCGCATTGCTGTTTGTTGCTCGAAAAGAAGACGATCCAGCAATAAGATCTATTGGACAATATTAGTGCAGCATAACAAAGGATATAAAGCGATCCAACTTGTCGGTGGGAAGCTCCCAACCCACTCTAGCATATGAGTTGGAGAGCTCACTGGCATTCGACCTAAACCATACTTGTTCTAAGAACGACAAATAGTTTGCCGCACATATACTAATCAATCCTTATGAGGAGATACTTTGTCGCACCTCAGAGAAGATGATTCTAACAATCGTCAACCCAGATAGACAGCAGATTCTACTTGCACTCATCCTTTGTCTTCTCTCGCACTGTGTTCCCAAAAACAGCACAGTGTTAGGATCGGTGGAGGACCTCGTCCACCTATTCTCAGTATGCGAGGTGGAAGCGCCACTAATGTAGTCATCATAGAATTTGCGTGCACGCCATTGTCTACTTAAGGGGAAGCCTCTGCTTCGTACTCGCACAGCTCGGTTCATCATGCAAGGGTTTAGGAGACTAGTTAGGGCCGGTCTCTTGCTGCATTGCCTCCTCCGATGGATCTATCTCGTGAACTCCAGTCCTCCACCCGATCCGGTGCAGTGCTCGTCAGGCACTTCCGACTGCACCGTCACCAACGCCTACGGGGCGTTCCCCGATCGATCCGTATGCTCGGCTGGCGATGTCGCGTATCCGACCAGTGAGGCGGAGCTTGTCGAGGCCGTGGCCGAAGCAGCAGCTTCCAAGAGGAAGATGAAGGTCGCCACACGATTCGCGCACAGCATCCCGAAGCTGGCTTGCCCCGGCGGCAGTGACGGCCTCATCATCAGCACGCGGGACCTCAACCGCATCGTGAGCACCGACGTCGCCGCGATGACGATCACGGTCGAGAGCGGGGTGGTGCTGGAGGACCTGATAAAGGCAGCAGCGGCGTCCGGGTTAGCGCTACCCTACACACCCTACTGGTGGGGATTGACGATCGGTGGCTTGCTGTCGACTGGTTCGCACGGGAGCTCGGCGTGGGGGAACGGGAGTGCGGTCCACGAGTACGTGGTGGGCATCAGGTTGGTGACGCCGGCATCGGCCGCAGAGGGCTACGCCATGGTTCGGAAGTTGGAGGTGGGTCACCCTGACATGGAAGCGGCAAAGGTCTCGCTCGGAGTCCTCGGAGTTATTTCGCAGGTACGCTGGCTCACTCGAACTGCATCAGATAATGAGTGCAGCTCAAGATTACGTATGAAAGAAGCTGTGAGTCGTGTGCCGTGTGTCAGGTAACGCTGGCCTTGCAGCCGCTGTTCAAGAGGTCCATCACATTCTCAAAATACGACGACGCAGATCTTGCAGAAATGGCTGTCACTTTCGGCAACCGGCATGAGTTCGCGGACATGGCGTGGTACCCGGGCCACAGCAAAGTTATCTACCGCATCGACGATCGAGTCCCCTCCAATGCTTCCGGCAATGGCCTGTTCGACTTTACAGGGTTTCGTTCCACTGTAACCCTAGCAATAGAAGTTAACAGATTCGCAGGTAATTGAACGTGGATCAGATTTGCATGCATGTCAATCTGAGAGCACTCATAAACGCTGTCTGTGATTCTTTCTAACGCACGAGAAGAGGAGAAATTGGAAGCAAAGGGAAACGCATTGGGGAAGTGCCTGGACTCCAAGCTCACCACATCTGTGATCTCGCTCGGTGGCTACGGACTGACGAACGATGGCTTATCGTTCACGGGCTACCCGGTGATCGGCAACCAGAACAGGCTTCAATCCTCGGGAAGCTGCATCCGTAGCCCACGCGACGCTCTCCTCACCGCTTGCCCTTGGGATTCCAGGCTCAAGGGAGAGTTCTTTCACCAGACCGCGGTCAGCATCGGCTTGTCCAAAGCGAAGGACTTCATCCTTGACGTGCAGAAGCTGAGGGACATGAACCCCAAAGCGCTGTGCGGCGTGGAGCTGTACGACGGCATCCTGATGCGCTACGTGAAGGCTTCTACCGCTTACCTCGGCAAGCAGGAGGACGCCATAGACTTTGACATCACCTACTACAGGAGCCATGATCCGATGACCCCGAGACTCCACGAAGACGTGCTAGAAGAGATAGAGCAGATGGCACTGTTCAAGTATGGCGGCCTCCCGCACTGGGGGAAGAACAGAAACTTGGCGTTTGATGGGGTGATCAACAAGTACGCGAAGGCCCAAGATTTCCTGCGGGTGAAGGATGCCTATGATCCCCAAGAACTGTTCTCCAGCGAATGGACGGATCAGGTTCTCGGTGTGAGGGGGACGACGACGATAGTGAGGGAGGGTTGCGCATTGGAAGGGCTGTGCATCTGCTCCGAGGACAGCCATTGTGCTCCTGATAAGGGCTACTACTGTCGTCCCGGTAAGGTGTACGAGGATGCCAGAGTTTGCACCCGCCTATCCAAATAGCACCTTACTTTTTGGCTGTTGTTGTCGAAAGATCTAAGTCGATGCAAAGAGCAAAGTATCAATATGAAAGAATAGTCGATCAATCATAGTTGGAGCCAAGAGATTTGCTTGAGTTGTGTTGGAGTTTGAGATAATATAGGATTCATATAGTCTATTTTTGTCGAGAAGGGAGAGAAAAATCGAAAATAATAAAAAAAATCAAATATCAATAAATAAAAATATTTATAAAAAAATCGATAATTCTTAATTATTTTTTTTATTTTTAATATGAGACTAATAAATATTGTTATAGAGTAATGTAATTCACGTTCAAAAAAACCAAGTGAATCAAATCTCTCATAAAAGGAGACTTAAAAGTGACATTTATAAATGCACATTTACTTTCTTTCTATACAAAAATTAAGCAAACATGAGAGTTGGAAGACACAAAATTGTCATCCATCAATATTTATAGGATGCTAATATATATATATTTTTAAATTAAATTATCTTATGATATTATAAAAAATTATGAAATTATCAAAATGATCCAATGAAAAACTAATATGATACATATTTTCTATAAGATGAAATTTTAATATTTTATTTTTAAAAATGTATTTGTGTGGTTATAATTTTATGTATTATATATTTGGGTCATATGAATTTTTAATTATTTTTAATTTAAATAATTAATATAAATATAAATATTAATATTAATATTAAAAAGATAAATTGATTATAAAAAATATTTAATAAAATTTTAAAAATATAATTTTACGTCAATCTATTGCTTATCGAACATTTAAATATTCTATAATTATACATTTATTCAAACTTTTTTCTTCAATTATAAATTGAAAATACAAGCCAGATGTGTGAATAAATGAAGAAAAAAGTTGTGTGATAGTAGGTAGGTAGGACATTGATCGAAATTTCTTTGCTAGCGTTGACCCGTACGTTGACATTGTCAATTAACTGGACCATAATTGGACCAAAGAAACGGCTCGATAGGCCAGGCCGGGCCGGGCCGGGCTAGTTAATGCCCATCAATCGGACGGTCATCCTCCAGACGGTGCGGGCTCCTCTTTTTGGGAACGCTAGATTAGGTTTTGGGCAATAAAGAAGCGGTCGTCTGCGGCTCTCTCGTCGTCTGCTCTTGGGAGTTCGCGCGGCACCCCTGCTTCACCATCCGCTTAGGTACGCTTTTTTTATCTCGTTTCGATCTCTGGGTTTACATTTATGGGTTCTCTTTTGCTTTGGATGCAGTTTTTTTTTTGTTTTTCCTTAATTCGTCTCGCTGCGGAACAGGCTAAAATCTCAGTCAGAACCAAAGTTTCAGATTGGAGACGGAAGAAGGGGTTAATTTTGTGCCAATCCTATCTCCTGATCGGTCACGGCTCGTCGCTGGACCTCTTCCCTTGTCTTTTTTGTGCCCTTCAAGTAATTCTATCATCTCGTACTGAGGAATCGAACAACCATGTCGTCTCTGAGGAACGCTATCCCTCGAAGGACTCACAAAGAGCGAGCTCAGCCGTATGTGAACTTTCTTCGATTGTTCCTTTGTTTTCTTTTCTTTTCCTTTTTCCTACGCTCACGATTGCGATAATTTGCGCTCGTTCATATGACAGCCAACAAAGAAAGAAGTTTGGGCTTCTCGAGAAGCATAAGGATTATGTCCTGCGAGCACGGGCATTCCACCAGAAGGAAGATACTCTGAGGGTGAGAAGCTTTTGTTTTCTCCGCGTGTTATTTGTGGCTTTGGGGTCTCATGTGTTGCATCTATCAGAGATTAAGGGAGAAGGCAGCTTCTAGAAATCCAGATGAGTTCTACTTCAAGATGGTTAACACACGAATGGTTGATGGGATTCACAGACCCAAGTAATCCTCGATATCTAAGCCTTGATTGGCTAGATTTCATTAATATAATAATACTGACACAATTTCCTTCAGGAGCGAAGCAAACAAGTACACACCGGAGGAGCTCATGCTGATGAAGACACAAGATATTGGATATGTTCTTCAGAAAGTTCAAAGTGAAAAGAAGGTTAAATCATTAAATCACTTTCTATTTTGTATTTATTGTGATTGATGGAACTATGGGGCATTCAATTTCTTATTATGATTGTTTGTTCATTGTAGAAAATTGAAAGATTAAATTCTGCCCTTCATACACTGGATCATCAGCCTGAGAACAAACATGTGTATTATGCAGAGGATAGGTATGCCCGAGGCCCATGCTGTTTCTTGGTGTTGAACATTATAGGAGCTCACATGAATTGCGGGTGATGGATTATCATTGTCCATGTAGAGCATTGAGGGCTATATGATTTAGTATATATCTTGTCTTTCAATATACTTGGTTGCCGAAATGAGTTAAGAGAAAAGGCTCTTTTTCTTTATGATCTTATGTTACTCATATAATAAGCCATCTGGTTGACATCATTGGGATTTCTTGATTTTTCCTAATATAACTACATCACTTGCTTGCCAGTATGTTGTTTTTTCTTTTATGTTCTCATGAAATATAACTAAATTACTAACATCCTGTGGCCCTTGTGGATCAGTGGCAAGATAAAAGAACATTTGTTCAACCCATGTAGAAGTTATTTGATATGATAGTCTAGCATCCTGCTTGTTTCAATCAATGACATCTGGACCAGTGATTTAAAAAGCGCTAGGCGCCAAAAGGCCCCATGGTCCAAAAACGCCCGAGGCGCTAGGCGATCGCCCGAGTGAAGCGAGACGCTAAAATATAAAAATATATAATATAATTAAAAATATAATTATTTAAAATTTTAAATAAAAATAAGCTATTTAAAATTTAAATAATTATATTATTTAATTATAATTATTTAAACAATTATAATTATAATTGTTTAAATTATAAACAATTTAAACAATTATAATTATTTAATTGTAATTATAATTAAATAATTATTGTTGCTCGCCTAGGCGCTCCCGCGAGCGGCGACAACGATAGCGACGAGCGGCGAGCAACGGCAGCGGGAAAGGGAGCGGGAGCGGCGAGCAGCGGGAGGCGCGAGCGGCGACAGAGGCAGCGTTTGCGAGCAGCGATAGTGGCGAGCGGCGACAGCGGCGAGCAACGAGATCGGGATCGGGATCGGGAGTGGTAGCGGCAGCGGGTTAGGGTTGGGTAAGGGTTATATCGGTTTAGTTGGTTCGATTGAACCAACTAACCAACCGAACCAGGATCGAACCAGACCTAAAATCCTGGTTCGGTCGCCTTGGTTTACCCAGGCGATCGCCCGAAGCGCCCAGTGCCTAGGCTCGGGCGAGCGCCCAGGCGGCGCCTGTTTGAAGCGCGCCGCCTGGGAGATTAGCGAGGCGCTCGGGCCTCGCCTTGCCTCGCCCGAGCGCCTAGGCGAGCGCCCGAGCGCCTTTTTCAATCACTGATCTGGACAAATACGTGACATATATTTAGCTTTGATGTTTAATTATAGGAAACATGTGTACTGGAGTTATATTGTAATGTATAGTTGATGAGTCCTACCAGGCCATCACCAGTTGCGTTCAATGGCCCGCCTCAAAAGGCGCATCAAGGGGAGGAGTGTTGGGGGTTTTTATGACCTTGGCTCTCCAACACTTTTACCTATTTGGTTTTAAATGTTGCCTCATCAGAGCCCTTGTTTGGGGACCCACCCCCATAGGTTTCTTCGGCTTGGATGAGCCATCATTCAATGAGATCCTTCACCAGGCCATCACCTACTCGTGCTTGGGTGCCCACAAGGTGTTATCCTATCTGAGCTAAGTCCTACATGTCTTTGTTCTTTTTGGGGTGCCCCTCATACAATGTGTCGAGGAAATGAGGCTTGAGGCTTTTATAAGGTCTTGGTTCTCCAATTCTCTACCTGATATGAGATTAGATATGGATTAATTTATTTATTCTTTTTTGCTAGTGCAAACAAGATAAGTTTAAGAAATATTGTGCAAATATACTATGGTCCTTTGGGTAAATTGTAAAATCTAAAATTATAAAAGTTCAGCAACAATATAATAGAGTACTAGATTAAGATTGTTGATACATATTTGACACCTGGGAGCCACCTTGATTGGGGAAAAGGTAGTTAATAGGTTATTCATTAGCTTGTCACAAGGCAGCTATTGGTTATGCCCAGTAATAACAAGTAGGCCTAAACTAAGGTACATAATTGTTTATCCTCTTGGTAATAAGGGGAGTTCTGCCATGAAGTGTACAGAATTAATATGATTAGTTGTCATCATTATAATTTGTAATGTATGTTCACAAGCTTTGGTTTTTTCCAGTTAAAGAACGTATTGTTTTTTCTATATAATTCATGTGGTTTCTATATCTTATTTTACCAATAACGTATAGTTTTCTCTTTATAGTTGGTCTTTTGTTTCTATCTTATATTTATTCTAAAATTTTGCTTCACCCCTCATTATGCAACAGAGAAGAAGTCAAAGAAATACAATCTAGACAATTGGAAAAGAAGGATTCACTTGCTTCTGTAAAGGTTCCAGGTCGTATAAAAAAGTAAGTGAATTTTGATATTGGATTTTCTGATGAGTTTCCATTTATGCTCATAAATATTCAATGATGTTTTCTGGATATTAAGTTTGTTTATTACTAGTCATTAGTAATTGAAGTCATCCATCCAGTTGAAGTATTGGGTTATATTTATTGTTTAAAATCCTTTTGAACTCTCAAACCAGGGGGTGTTGTTTGTTGGAAGGTTTTTTTGTTGAGGGGGCGTTTGGTTTCCCACTGCTATACATGCCTGCAAATATATCTGTAGGCAATCACTTGCCTACAAGTTGGGGTGGTGTTGCTGTTGTTTGGTAGTCTGTATATGTGGTTGGGCCTTGCACCTGCAAGAACAATTCGATTCCTTTGTTCCATGCAAATGGAGTAATATGGTAGCTCTCCTAACTGGAGCACGATATTATTCTCATGTCATCAATGATAATGTAAATATATATCACTCATCAAATATAGACTTTTTATATGTAGGGTTATCTTTTGTATTTTGCTTTATTTTATGCTTAGTGGTGATGAAAGATCTATGTAGCTGATCCTGAATAATCGTAAAATTACATCTTTGTTCTTGTATATTTTATCATTCTATATTTATATATAGTTTATTTTATTGTAATATTATATATAACTTAAGTTTTGATGACATTTAAAACTTACATATTATGAAGTTACACCTTTTGCCAGCAAACTTACATGAAGCCTATACGTCTGGTGTAAGTGCCAGAAGTAAATCTTTAACTAGACACTATCGGAATTAACCCATCCTTTCCTTTTCTTCATTACTTTTCTTTCAGTTATCTTTGGGTGATCTAATTTGTTCTTTTATTTTCGTAAAACTTTTCTTTTTTTATTTTGGCATCTGGTGCTTGTCATTCTATGTCATGGTGCTTTAATATGTATGATGCTTTACCTTGGCTTTTCTGATGTTTACGGCTCTCTCATTCCCAGGAAAACAGCTGCATCTTACAGAGAACTGGAAGCAAGGCAGAAAAGGGTTCAAAACCTGGAAAAGCTCTACTCCGATATGGCCTTGCAAAAGGAATTGCAGGTTACTGATTCTTGTATTCTCATTTAGGAATAAGGTGCATGCAGGTCATTAACTTAAATTACTTGGAGCAACTAAGGTGTATTCTGTTTTTCATGCTGCAGAAATCTGGCAGAAAGCGTAGACTTCGTGAAGATGAAATTGTTCAACCGACGAGTAGACCCGTGTATAAATGGCGCACAGAACGCAAGCGTTAGATTATGTTCACCGTCGTCGACACTAATTTGATGATACTCATCTTTATGAAACCAGTGGTTGGCTCCAGGAAATAGATTGATCCAAAGAACCTGCGCAGGTTCAGCTGGAATTTTCCTTTTTTCTCTCTATCATGTTACCCAGATCTCTTTGGGGGCTGATTCCGAATCAAGAATCTTACTTTCCCTACTCGTTCTTTTTCTGTTCCTTTCACCCTTTGGGTGCTCGAGAGAAGAAAGGAGGTAGAGGTGGACCTGTGCGAGTATGGGTATATGTCTGGATTCGAATCATACATAATTATTTGATATACCTTCGGCTTCGAATTTAATCCTCTGTTTTTATTTATTTATCCATCTAATTATCATTCACATACATTAATCGAAATATAAATATTCCCAGAACAATATATTCTTACTTCTAGAAATGGCCACTCTCATATTAGATTTACATATTATAATTTCCTTTGGTTACAAATAAAAAAAGTGTAGGAAAAATAAAAATAAAAAGAATACAACAAGCGTGGTTATTAGATCATCCGATTAGATCATCCGTGTATAGAACTCAAGCAAGCAAGACAAATCTTCAAATAAAAATTTAGTAGTTTTGGTAGCTTGAATGTCCAATCCTTTTTCGATAGAATAATTTACGTTCATAAGAATATAAAAAACAATTTAAGTCAATCTCAATATGTACTTTAGATATATCTTCCTGAAGTACATCTCACAATAATAACTACCTACGGTGGAGGTTATATGAAGATGATAGACAACTACAGTAAGAAAATGACAACACCATCATTATTTCTTGTATCAAAGGCATTCTCATGCTCCATCATAATTAATGCAAGTCATTCTCATCTAATCATGCTTTCGATTTTATTCTTAAAAAAGAACATGTAATACTCTCGAACATGGTCTTCTGGACATGAGAAGGACAATGGACCTCTCCTTTTCTCTTTGCCGTCTTCCCCATGTCGTCTCTCCTTACGTCGTCATCGACCTCTCTTGTTGCCTCTCTTCTATGGTAAAGCATTACTCTTTGATGTTGTTGTAAGACATTACCAATAAAATGGCTACAAATAAAATAATTTTCATAATATATAATTAAATAAAGTCTATCACGTCCTCCTAAATCACAATAAAACATTATTTTAGTGACTCTTGCGTATCATCATGCATGCTTCTTGCGTATCATCATGCATGCATTTTATGTAAATCTACAGCTCAATATGAGCTGCAAAATTGAAGTCAATCCAAATCCAAATCGAAACTAAAACTTTCCTTACATATCTATTCTCTTTCTCGATTATTTAGATTAAGCGGATCGGGGAGGCTTTGCTGAAACCCGACCCGACCCGACCCGCTGTCTTCCCTACACCCTTTCTGTCACTACTTAATTGATTACCCCCTCAATTTAATCTGAGGACAGTAACGTTACCACTAATCTGATATGCCCAACCGTTCATCTCCCATTTTGCCGCTCGTGGTTGGGCAAAGAAGGGGACGGGAGGGGTTAAATAATAATAATAATAATAATAATAATAGTAGAGAGCGTACTCGAAATCCCAACGGGTAGTATCCGATTTGGGAGACGAGTAAGAATCAAAAAAAGGAAAGGATTGGTTAACTTTCCTTACAAGGGAAAATTGGGAAATGAAATGAAACAAAATCGCTGGAAAATCTCAATCAGTGAGGCGCGTACCAAATTATAAGACCGATTTGGGATTTTATGCTGGTGGTGGTTCAATTTGGTGACTCTGTTTTCGGTGCAATTGCGTTTCCTTCTTCTTCGTCTCTGTTGGGAACGAAAGGGAGCGAGCGATGGAGGAAGTGGTGGCGGGACGGGCGGCGGCGCTTGTTGTCGCGCTGCTGCTAATGGCGGCGGCGGCGGCGGCGCCGCTGTGCTGCGCCAATGACCCCACCGCCTACTTCAACTGGGACGTCTCCTACGTCACCGCCTCACCTCTCGGCGTCCCTCAGCAGGTACGTTGATCGTAATCCTCGCCCGCTCCTCCGCACACCTTAATGCTCCTCCTCCCCTACGACTGTTGCTAGGTGATAGCGGTGGCGAAGCAGTTCCCTGGTCCCATCGTGAACGTGACCACCAACTGGAACGTCGTCGTGAACGTGCGCAACAGCTTGGACGAGGATCTCCTCCTTACATGGTCTTTTCTTCTCTCTCTGTCTCTCTCTCTTTTCTTCTTCCCTATTCATATAGATGATCTTTGGGAAGAAAGAAGATTGGATTGTTGGAATTCGGTCCATTGTGGTTCTTGTTGGTGATGAATCTTGATGTATCTGTATGAATGTATGAGTTCAAGAAGAATCGAGTCCGGTCTCTCTGTCTTTCTTGTTAAGGTCTTAATGTGAATCTTGATGGCCAGGGATGGGATACAGATGCGGAAGAACTGTTGGGATGACGGGGTCTTGGGCACCAACTGCCCCATCCCGCCGGGCTGGAACTGGACTTACGACTTCCAGGTGAAGGACCAGATCGGCAGCTTCTTCTACTTCCCCTCCCTCGGCCTCCAGCGCGCCGCCGGCGGTTACGGCGGCATCATCGTCAACAGCCGCGACGTAGTCCCGGTGCCCTTCGCCAAGCCCGATGGTGACATCACCCTCTTCATCGGCGATTGGTACATCAAGAACCATACGGTGAGTTCGACACATAGCAAGCGCCACTGGAATGATGCATCACATTCATACCGAGTAACCTGTAGGACTTGAGGAAGATGCTCGACGATGGGAAGGATCTCGGCATGCCTGACGGCGTTCTGATGAACGGGAAGGGGCCATATCGCTATAATGCCACACTCGTTCCGGACGGCATCGACCATGAGACCATCAATGTCGAACCAGGTGATCATCCTCTGTTTGCCAGTACAGAAGCCTTTTTCTCTTTCTTCTTCTCTAGAATCGAATTATGTTTTGGCATCCTTCGATTCAAGTCACTCTTTACTGGACCATAAACTGCAAATCCTTCGATTCACCGAGTAATTTGCAACGGTGTTTGGTGGAAGTGCAGCTCTTCTCATGCTCATTCACACATCTATATTCCTGTCGGTATACTTCAAATTGCTAACCTATGTTGTGGTCTTTCGACAATGTTCTCACTTGGAACAGGGAAAACATATCGCTTCCGCATCCACAATGTCGGTGTTTCTACTAGCTTGAACTTGAGGATCCAAAATCACAACCTACTTCTCGTCGAAACAGAAGGAACGCACACTCTGCAACAGTCCTATACCAATCTAGATATACATGTTGGACAATCCTACTCTTTCCTGGTCACCATGGATCAGAATGCAAGCAGCGACTACTACATCGTTGCAAGCGCCAGGTTTGTGAATGAGTCGCTTTGGACTAGAGTGACTGGTGTTGCCATCTTGCACTATTCAAACTCAAGAGGGAAGGCATCTGGTCCTCTTCCTGATCCTCCTAATGATTTCTATTACAAGGGCTTCTCGATGAACCAGGCAAGATCCATCAGGTTTGTTTGCAGTCCGAGTCTCAGCTACTCTTCTTATGGTTTAGTACATAGGAAACCTTTGTTGCTCTTATTTCTTGGCTAATGGTTGTGCTTATAATTTAAGGTGATCCATATGTAGATTTCTGTGCATTCTGCAAAAGTAGTTCCTAAGAACCTAGAAACTGGAGATTGTTCTTCTCATCCACTTAGCCTGTTTCATCTTTTCGCCTCTAATCCATCAAAGCTTTTCAGGACAAACCTGAGTGCTGGCGCTGCTCGTCCTAATCCTCAAGGATCATTCAGATACGGTTTGATTAATGTGACTCGAACATATATGTTGAGAAATATGCCACCCGTTATCATCAATGGAAAGCTTCGAACTACATTGAATGGTATCTCGTATTCTCCCCCTACCACTCCATTGCGGCTTGCTGATCATCACAACAAGACTGGAGTATACACACTTGATTTCCCCACTAGACCACTTGATGAACCACCTCGAATTGGAACCTCTGTGATCAATGGGTCATATAGGGGTTTCATGGAGATCGTTTTCCAGAACGATGACACAAAAGTTCAGACGTATCACATTGATGGATATTCAGTTTTCGTAGTTGGGTGGGTACTACAGGCAACTTCACTTCCTTGTGTTTCCTACTACATCTATGTTTCTTTTGCTCAGTTGATCGACCGTATGCTTATGACAGAATGGACTATGGGGAGTGGACAGAGGACCGTAGAGGCAATTACAACAAGTGGGACGCTGTTTATCGCTCTACGACTCAGGTATCTACGATGAGTTTTACCTTGTGTTCTTTGATCTTTTCCATGTCATAGTCATATTTGTTTTATGCATCAAAACATGACCTATTAAAACACCTGATCTATCAAAACAGTTCCTTTATATATATACTCATCCAGGATAATTTTTCTTTTACCTACAATGACCATGAATGAAGCCACAATGTATACTAATTGTTGGCCTTCATTTGATCATGAATATTCTTCTGTTCCACTTTCTGCAGTCAAAATCCCAAACATGAAATCTCAGGCCATATTCTTAATGCGAAAACTGGTTCGTCGATCAACATGTCCCCACAATTTTTGTGTTCTTCCCAGGTGTTCCCGGGTGCATGGACTGCCGTGTACGTCTCACTGGACAATGTGGGGATTTGGAATGTGCGTGCCGAGAATCTGGATACATGGTACCTCGGGCAGGAGGCCTACATGAAGATCGTCAACCCAGAACGTACTAACAAAACCGAGTTGCCTGTGCCAGATAATGTCCTCTATTGCGGTCTCCTCCAGTATCTGCAAAAGTACGTCATCCCCTTCTTCAAAGTTTCTCCGGCTGTCATGTACTCCCTAGCGTCTAACACTCGCTTCACATTTTAAATTCTTCAGGCCTCAGACACACAAGCATTCCTCGGCTTCCTCGGTTTCAAACGGAGGCAAGCTCCTCCTCGCTTGGATTCTGCTGTTGGCTTCGCTTGCGTTGGTCCCTTAATATGGCTGAACCAGGTAAAAGAACGCCACTGTTGTTCTTATGTTTTTTACACCGATAGGAACGTGATTTGGTCTAAGTAGAGCGTAGAGCGTTCCTGGTCGAGGATCAAAGGTTTGCCGACCTTTTTCTTTTCCATAGAACATCTTGCTTGTCCTCTATGTTAGCTAATTTGTCATCTATGACGGTATGACTATGATTCTTCGACCAACATATAACCGAAGTAATGAGTTAGTTGGATTGCCTTATGATGATGTATCGTTGTTTGGTGCGTGAAAAAGATGATGTTAGACACATTAATAAAGAAATGGTAATAATAAATGCAGTGTGTAAAAGTAGCCATGTGAACGTGGTTGGTACTTCAGACTTGGAATGTTCAGAGCGGGCAGCAGATAACGACACTTGCACTCATCTATTGCATGCAGCCGCTGCTAACTACCGAGTAAAGACAGCCAAAAAGAGAAAACGAGCTAACAACTTTTCAGGATACGTGCAGAAGAAAGAACAAAAATATGTGCAGATATATAATTATTTTGGGAATACCATACTGAAAAAACTGGCACAGACATTAAAAGCGTACACCTTTGAGGAATATATGATCTTTTGATAGTTCAACAAATAATAGTAAGCATGGTGGTATCATCTTTGCAGTTCAAATAGCATTTAAAGTTACAATCACATCCAGATAAGTATATTCTCAAGCTAGATTTGGGGACTCCTTGGGCTATTTCACATTGAGATTTAAAAAAAGAGTAGCCTTTTTTTTATTTTCTTCTTCTTAAAAACCTTCTTATTTTTTATTTATTTATAATGTTTTTAGATCAATTTTACCTTCAATTGACTGAGGTCTTAACCATCTAACAAAACTTCTTGCGAGAAAACTAGTTGGACTATTAGGTTTAGCTCCTTTGGAATTTTTATTATTAATATATGTAACCTTATCTCTAAATATATATATAAAAAAAACATATTTTTGTGATTCAAACCCTACCATTATACTAAGTTTCGATGTCGACTATATACTCTGTATATCCTAAGCTGTAAGCTTTTTTTCTTTTTTTAATTTGAAAGTTGTAACTTCAGTTATTTTTATTTTTAAGAATTAATTTGTTAAATTCACAGTTTCATTTATTTGCAGCATTTGGTATAGTGTTCTTATAGACTAAAAATAAATTTCTTATGATAATTGATAATTATTCTCACTACTTTGTTATATCAAGGATCTTGACATCGTACATTTATTGTCATCTATGCTAGCTCATTGTGTTATCGTACGTTACATTAATAGGCTAGATAAAAGTTATAACGCGAGTCATGACCTTCCCATCAATATATATCTATCATAACTAAGTTTTCATTTTTTTAAAGACATTATTTTTTCAAAAAAATAGATTCTTGAAGAAAAAAAATTATGACTTACAAAAATATATAAAAAAGATTTTGGTTATTGGCCCCTCCACAAAAAGAAGATTTGGAAGATCGATTAAAATTTGTCAATCAATCAACATAATAATTTTTCTCAAGAAAATATAAGAAATCTTAAAAGTTTAAAAAATTTTAATGTTAGAAATTAAAATAAAATAATAATATATCAAATGTATGATGCATACCTTTTGGTGTCATTCGAAAAGTCTTTACCTGAATTCAAAGACTATAACAATGTCAATAGGTAAAGAGAACTAAATGCTTATGAGCTAATAGAAGAGATGTAATCTCTTAATAACTAATTCTCTTGCTCTATTTATAGATGACGGGGTCTAGAATAAATAATTAGGAAGGTCCTTTCCACTAAGATATCTCCTAAGAAATCCTAATACAATTTTATCTTATTTTTATTAATCGATAATCAAAATCATAAACCAATTATATCTATAATATACGCTAGATAATATCATAATCTAACAACAATGTCACATAATCTAACAAATGATTATTGAGAACAAGCATATGTTACTACAATACTTTGCAACAGGTGTGAGACAGATTTAGAAGAGCTTAGATACAGAACAAAATTCCCAAGACTATGGAATTTTTGGAATTTAGAGATCAACGCTGTGCTACTTTGTAATACGGTCAATAATAGATGGATCATGGCACTGTCCAAACATTTAGAACTGGTATGCATGCCCAAACTTATCTAGCAAAAGAAAGACTTTATAAGCTAATATGTTGATCATTATATAGATAATATTTACTATTGATGTTGATAGAGCCATTTACCTCAAATGGAAGTCATAGGTAAAGGATTAGGTCCAAGTTATCACCTCAATTTACATTTTAAATAATAATATAAATTTGGTCTATTTATTGTTCCACAAAAATTGATGTGGAATGATAGGTTTAGAGAATGGACAGTATGTTATGATAGAATAGAGCACAGATCACATGGGGGATACAAAAGGTGACTCCAATTAGATCAAATGTATGATCCTCCATAGAGGGGTTTAGATTAAGATTTTTTTCTTCAATTATAATGAAACTTATATTTTAACTAAACTTTTAAATCAATCCATATTAAAGTTATATAGGTTTATTTAATATTCTAACACACTTTAATGCACACATTACTCGCGCCTACGTTTTATCATGTTTATCAATTTTTCGTCTAAATAGGTATAAAAAATTTTACGTACATGCTAATAGTTTATTGGATCGAACTTCTCATGAACTTTCGATATTTATAACAAATAAAGATGTATCGCCTTCGAAAGAGTCGTATCGAATATAATCCTAATAGAATTTGTTATAAGATAGAAGATATAAGAAGTAGATTGACAAATTCCTCTTGAGATGTCATCAAAAAGAAATAAGAAATGATATCAATAATAATATAATTAATTTCACTTTTACAATCAATTCCAAATTACGATCACAAAGACATGTTTATATATCCAACAACACAAAGCCAAATAAACAGCACATAATTATTCCCTTTTCCTTTCTTTTATTTCTTCTCCATGCAAACAATAACACGTTCCGGAGGAGTCATATTCTCGTGCAGAAGCGAGAAGGTGCCATTTCAACCGTGTGATGGCTTCTGTTCCGCCGCCGTGGTCTCTTCCTCCGTGCTCCCCTCCACCTCCACCTCCACCACGTTGGTCTCGTCGGCGTCCGCGTCGCCGTCTCCTCCGCTAGGCCCATCCGCTTCGTGCTTCGCCTCGCTTGTCTCTGGTTCCTCCTCGATTCCCGTCATGGCATTCTCGCCGGATTCGGCGGCCACAACCTACACACATGCACAGTTTGAGATCGAAGAAGGAAGATGTCTCAAGATCGATAATCCACGCAAATAATATTGGGCTTCCACAAACCTCAGCGGCCTCGGCGGCGGCGGGGGCGGGGGCCTTCACGTCGGCCCGTGGCACCTCAGGTGTCTCGCAGTAGATGTCCTTGGGTTTACTCCCACAGCCACCCATGGATTCCTGCGGAGACGGAGGCGGTTGTGCTGGGGAGCGTCGGAGGGAAGGGCGAGAGAAGGCAAGGAAGGAGCGCCTATTTATACTGTCTGGGTTAGAGAGAGAGAGAGAGAGAAGGATTGGGTCTATATTTAGGTAGGTGAAGGATGGTGGAGAGACCGACGACACAGAGAAGCCGTGGCTGAGGACTCCTTCAAATCGTTGCAATGTTCGTGTGCAGATCTGTACATGAACGTACTCTCATTGACCATTTGGATTCATGACGAGGCTTTTGCGTTGACCGTCTCGATTCGCATGTCAACGACATATGGTGGCATTTATTCTTGCTATCATGATCGATAACATTAGGGGTCAAAATAAATGGCGCCCCAAAGCTCACATTCTGTCTCGGTAAGTATTTATTTGTTCGTAGAATTAGAGTGAGGTGAAAGAAGTCTTAGAAGGGTTTGAGACATAATGATAATTTTTACTGAGGTTTGGAAGAGTTCAGAAGATTAGTAGTTTATTAAACAATATTTTAAAATATATAAATATAACTGGTAAACCAAGAAAACTTTTTTACAGTATTAATCTATAAACATAAGATAGTTATTGAGATTAAGAGAAAATATTTTTTTTTATAAAGTATAGTTAAAAAGAAGAAAGATTTGAGCATAAGTTATATTATATTGATTAAAAATTGCATCATGATAAAGTGGGGCTAATTTATATATTATCCTCTATAATTAGTTATCTTTAATATTTTGATTCGTGTACCTTTAAAAGTTATATTAGGATCTATATGCTTACGAAAGTTAAACATTTAATTATGTTTCTTCTCACACTATCAGGTTTACTAATAGAAATATTGTACGTGCTACTATTAGTAGTAGACTACAATAACGTCGATCTGCACGTGCTCAACAATAAATCATACAGTATTTTCATTAGTATAGTTGATAACGCGAAGAGAAACAAAATTAAATATTTTACTAAGTATAGGGATTCCAATATTATTTTTGAAAAATATAGAGATCTAGATGCTAAAGATAATTAGTCTTGAAAAAGTGTATAAATATTTATTATGGTAAATTTTATCAAAGAAGGATGCATATTTAAATTATATGTATGTAAGGTGGTGTAATAACTAAATTTAGAATTATGGATAACATATATTAAGTGGGAGAGAAATATATTATTTTTTTCATAATCAACTTCTATTACAAATACCATGATATCCAAAACTCACTTTAAAAGAGCTTTCTAGATATGTTCCCATATATAAGTATTTATCTCAAAAATATCAATTTAAGTACCGAAAGGATATTCAAAAATACTCTTGATATAATCTTATAGGATTCGATAATAAGTTTAAAGTCTGATAAAGACGATATTATAAGAGAAGAATCACGATTAACTTTAAATTATCATTGGATTTAAACCACAAATAATCGACTTAACACTAGAAAAAATAAAAAAATTATTTTTTATTCTTAAATAATAATATATATGGTTGATGAATAAAATGAGAAAAAATTATGTAAGATAGTATTAAGTTGACCTATAAATACTCTAGTTAAAAAATAAGATAATTAATATCAATAGAAAATATAGGGTAAATATTAAGAAAATTTTATTATAAATTAATATTTTTTTAATTATCTTAATTTAAACAAAGAATTACTATGAATAGACCTCAACGACATAGCTTACTCCATCCAATGGGAAACGACGATTACATAGGAAACGAACAATCCCCATTTCCATTTTATTTTATCTTATTTCTTATTGCTACGATGCCAATCACACTTTCCCGCCAAAATATTCGAACCTCCCTCCATTTCCCTCGTTTCCAA